TGTCCTTGTATTCAAAGAGTACAAGGGCAAGGATTGTGCCCGGCTCCATGGTATAAGAAGAGACTATTCATTCCCCTTCTGACACAGGCTGGGCCCTTTCTGGCCCCTGTTTCAGTCGCCTCTTCCTCTTGCCTGACGGCCTCCACGGTGTTTCCTTACAGAGACATGGTTGTCAGTTACCTGACGTGGCTCCTCAGGTGGCCCTTCCCACTCTGCTTTTCACCATCTCTTGGCTCCACAGCAGAGGCACGGCCTGAGACGAGCCTGAAGTCTCTCTCCAGCCTCACAGCTGGAGCAAGGTTGTCCATACCAAGCCAGCTGCCGCAAATCCATTCGGGACACACCGAGTCATGCCAGAACCTGGTAAGTCCCATGAGAAAGGAAACATTCTCTCTGTGGCTTGCCCACTGCTGCTCTTCAGAGTGTTGTTTTCCAAAGATGTTAAGACAACTGCTTCACTTTGCTTGCTGTATGAACAGTGTCCCTGGGTATAAAAGCAACGTAAGTAAATTAAAAGCAGCAGAAGGACAACAAAACAGACTAGCATCCTCCCTAGCCTTTTTAAAGAAAGCCAAAGCCCAGAGGACACCTATAATTGAACCTCTTCTGGAGGCATCAATCATTCAAAGGCAGCTGCAGGTTCTCAGCATCTACTGAGCTGGCACGTACATTTGACGCTACGGCAAGAAGGGAGCGTGGGGACCGAGCAGAAAGGCTGTTTGTCCCTGTTAATGTGAACACTCAGTCACCCAGCTAGCTGTGAGTACTCTCTGTCATCCCTTTTTCCCCTTGCTCCAGTTAGGTCATATCCAGGGCTCAAATAGATCCTGGGACCAAGGCAACGGGAAACATAGGGGACTCAGGAGAGGTGTGGGGAGAGAAAGGGAGGAACTGCAGGGATGGTTAAAAGAAGAGCCTCAGGAGCTGCTCTTGCTTTTGCACACAGTCTGAAAATCTTATATTATTAGCCTTATTATGCAAGTCTACAGAGATGGACAACAGGGTGAGCCAGAGCCAGCAGTACCGTCATACCCTTATTTGCTGTTTCAGGAAAGTGAATTACGAAGTTCTAATGTTAGAGAACTCGGAAAATAAGCGGTATTTTTTAAAAACAGGTGGAGCCAGGAATAAAAAGTTTTTCAAGCCTCCTCACTAAAAGCAAAGTGCTGAAGAACCACAAAGGAAGATGTTAGATGTTGAACCAAGACACTTTTGTCTTCAGTCAGAAGATGCAAAAGAAAAAAAATCTGGCAGGAAAACCAGCAGGCCTAGCCACAAGGAAGGCCAACTGAGAAACATGTTACTAAAGGAAGAAACCAAGTCAGTCAGCCAAGTATTTACTCTGATTTATAGCAATGCTTGGCCCAAAGCCCCAGACCCTTTAAAATGTACTAATAGCACACAGGTTAACAGTAAAAATATGAAGGAAAATGCAGCTGCGGCTTCAGAGCTGATTTTACAGCCCCTTACTGTAGTCCTCTCAAGAGCAACCAGTGAAGTAAGAGTCAGTAACTGTGGGATGGACATAAGAAAGCGAGAGAGAAAACTCTCCTTAAACCAACATCGGCGGCTTTCTCTGTAGCTGCTCAAATATTTGCTGTTATTGAGAAAAAGAGGCTGAAATGCGAGGCCCCCATTTCCATCTCTGTTTAGAGGTTCAACCACAATGCACCTTCCTGCATCAAGTTACCAGTTGAATTTTAGCCTGTCTACAAGACTTCAAGCTAGCTGTTAACAGCAATTTCTGTAATCTGTATCTCTAAGAGACTATCATGTTGGCATGGCTCAGCAAGACCAAAAAAGATTTTCATTGATGTTTGCAAAGAGAAGCGATATGGCTGAAAGCCCAGCTCTGCGCTTCTACGCTGGAGGAGATATAATTTAACACTCTTGCACCCAGTTTTACCCTCACTATAGGCAAGTGACAACTTCCCAGTGAATTCAGTGGGCAGAAATCCAGCCTCCTACTGCAAGCTGGGAGAAAAAGAATACTCTGCTACATGTGAGAACGTGACTTAGTCAGCATGTTAAAAAAGTGAGTTTGTAAGAGCACTACAGTATGAGGGTTTTTTTTTTTTAAGCAGCAAAATATTAAGAAGCCTGAAGGACTATGTATCAATATATATAAAAAACGTCAAGAGCTCTGACAAGTTGCAAAATCTTTTGATGAATACCCTCCTACTACTGGAAGCGTTAGAGGCAATTTCCTTGAAGCAATGGAGAGAACAGAGCACAAGAGAAAGGCCTGAAAATGGGAAAAAAAGGAAGCAGAAGAATGAAATTCTCCATATGTTTCCACCCAAAAGGAATTTGCTATTGCTTTTAAGCCTCCTTTTTGATCAACAGCTTAGTTAAAACAGGTTTTTTTTTTTTTTTTGTTTTGTTTTTTTTTTTTTTTTTTGGAGAGGCTCCTAGCAAGAATGCAGCACGCTACCTTGCTTTTCCGTACTCCCTTGCTATTCCCAGCAATAGCTGGTAGCTATGTTGCAACTCTTGAAGTATGTGCTCCTAAAAGCCAAACCCGCAGGTAAGTCTCATGCATCTCTTTTCCTGAACTCCACGGGCGAGGTGTGAAACTTGGGGTAATTACCTGCCTGCAGCCACTCCTCAGAAGCTGCAAAGCTTTTTCTTTGTGTAGCTACGGCAGCCACAGCAGCTGCACATTTGGTTGTTAAAGCAGGTTGGGCAACTGGGTTGTGTGGAAGGAGAAGCTGCAGGATTTTTTTTACTTTTTTTTTAAAGCCAACAACTTGTTTACCCAGAGCAGGTCATGGAAACACTAATCAAAAATAGAACATGCCTTCTCTTTCAGCATAAAGCAAGAATGACTAACAACACTCGTCTTGCACAGATGCACATAAAACCTGCACCTTTTATGTCTAATTATCCCAGGGATCTGATAATAGGTTATTCACTGGGGATATGCCCGAGTCAAGCTTGACAGTATAGGGATGGAGTTCAGACTGAGATTCAGAAGGCGCTATTCTGTTTTCTAGCTCTTCCCTCACGTGGACAAACCCAAGATCAGCTGTTTGCTCTGAAACATGCGACTGGAGGCAGCAACAGTTACACTTGATTGTGGCCCTCACTATTTCACTGCCTTCTTCCCTAACATTCCCTAGCTAATCCCAGTGGCTCACTAGGTGTTCCTGGCCCTGCCTCACTTCCATGGATGTGGCCCTTCCAGTTCTCCTGCCTTGGGCTGCTGGTCGGTGTTTGGAAAGGAAATGTTCATGGCCAGGTGGGTTCTCTCCTCTGCCTGTAAAATTCCTTTGATGGATAGTTTAATAAGCCTGTGTGTTTATGGCACATATTCAACTTCCAGACAGCAGATGCTTCAACAACTGTCCGCTAAGAGATGATCTCCTGCTGCAGGTCTTGGTGGGGTAGGGGAGTGCCCTGGTACCGCAGCAGGAGCCCTGCAAACGGAGAAGCCTCCTTTCCCTGCAACCTGCCTATGTAAACAGACATCCAAAGCATGCCGGCTTTGGGGTTAGCCCTTCCCAAGTGCTGCTCAGCAACACAAAACAAACTCAGGAACCACCTCCCCACGCCAAAGGCGCCTTCCAGCTGGAGAATCCTCGCGCGGGATGGCGGCTGCAGGGAGAGCCCGGCACCCTGCGGCCTCTTGGAGCTTCAGCGCTCCGTGCCTCGGCAGTCCGGCCCGCGAGGAAGGGCGAGCGCTGCCTCCCAGTGGCGACCGAGGACAGGGCACCGCTGTGACTAGCACGGCGACTCGCTCGGAACACGTCTTCGTGGTCACATGCAGAGGAGCGTTTTGCTGAGGCCAAGTTCCACGTCGGAAGCTGCACATTCAAATCCAACTAATCGCAGCTTATTTGGAAAAGGGCTGATATTTTTAGCTGAGAAAAATGAGTTAAACTACATATGTTATTCAGAGAGGCGCTGTGTGAGCGTCCTGTTGTGTTTTGGGGGTTCCAAAGGAGACTCACCAGTGACACTGTAGACGGAAGACAAGTGTGGTGTGTGTGGTTGGATGTGTTTCTGGCTTAAGCCACAAAGGTGCTCACGGCAGGGGAGCACCCAGAACGGGCACCACTGCTTGCCGAGGCTGCAGGAAGCAAGAGGCAGGGGCAAAACCCAATTGTTTGAAATCTATGGGGGCTTTAAGACCTACATGCCAAAAAAAGGAATTAATTGCTGCCCTGCAAGGGGAAGCCCAACAGTGCCGTGAGGATTTGAGGGACAGCACCTGTGTCCCTTGTGCCACATGCAAGCCATCCCGGCCAGATTGCGTGGACACCCACACCTTGGTGCTTCTCAATTTAGGGTGTGAGAGACCTAGTGAGAGACCTAGAAATCAGTTTTGCTTACAATAAATAGTGTTGCTGCCTTCCATATAGCCTCTGAGCTTTGTGAGGTTAATTTTCTTCACGTTGTTTTGGTAGAAGCCTCCAGGAGCAATTGATTTTCATTCAAAAATGACCAGGGAATGAATCTCTTGGCACTTTGGGAGGCTGCAGACTCAACTTCAGGCAACTCTCCTGCTCTGGTGCTTCCCTCGGTCCTCTCAGGGGCCTTAGCCAGGCTCTGATTTCCTGAAGTGGCCGGGATCTCTGCGGCACCGCGTGCAGGGTGGTGGCGCAGTCGGCAGGCACAGGCTGCCGGAGGATGTGACAGAGCAGAACGGTGCCATGGAGGGTTTTCAAATGTTTGTGCATCTTCATCAGGGGAAGAGACTAAATCTTGGATCACTTTGCAAGTTAATAATGATAAAAGCACCATTAAGACAAAGCCAATTTATAAGTCATATTAACAGACCTTCTTAAAAAGCAATATTATCCAGAATACTGACATAAAGAATGATTTAAAACAAAAACTTCCATTTTTTCAGTAAAGCATACACACTTGAGAGTTTCAAAAGCTTTACTGTTTTTCCAAGATGTCTTAGATCAGTCTCATTATTTTTCTTTCTTCAAAAGCAGCTTTGATGTTGTGGCACACAAACAAATACCACCACCATAAGCTCCAGAATTAGCAAAATGCTTTTTTTTTTTTTACAGAGTGGTGTCTCCTGCTTGACTGGTGCCCAACCACAGCTCTCACTTTCTCGAAGGCCTTATCACACGAGAAAGGTCCGTCTCTCCATGGGAAAATGTGGAAGAGCATCCAGGAGATAGGTGATGGCAGCTGGCCAGCCCCCTGTGGGGGAAAAGCAGCATTAACGGGGCATGTTGACCCACAGCCTTGTGGCCGAGCCTGTCCAGGGTGGTGCCACAACGGGGCCTTGCATCGCAACTGGCCAGGAGCCCAGCGTGCTCCTGTGCGTGTACACACTACATAAAAACTTCATTTAGTGACCTGCACCCCAGTGTTCCTCAGTGTTCCCAGCGGTGCCAGGACTCTCCCACTCTTGCATTGCCTCCATTGGGAACTTGCTGGTAGCTAAACAGCCGACATGGACGGCGGCTGCTCTGTGTGTGTATTCAGAGCAGTTCATCTGATGCAGAGGTTGAAGTTGGATTAGATGAAGAATCGATTACTTCCCAGTTTCCTCTCCAGTGCAATTGCACGGGGAGAGGCAAGTAGGTGGGAATACACTGGAGCAATCTAAGATGCTCAACTCGAGGGAACTGCATGAATTTTTAGCTATTTTCCAGCAGCTGCTGGGGAGTCTTTGTTAGCCTGATTAGTGAGAGAATGCGGAGCAGGTGCCAGATCGCTCACTCCGTCAAAGAGGAGCCTCTTATCAACTGATGCTCATCTGTTCCCTTGCCCAGTTAACTTTGGTGCGGGACGGGTCAGGAAATGCTGCTGCAGCAACACCAATGGTTATGTGCTGCTGTGGTAGCTGTTTACCCATCTGCAGGCGAGTTAGCCACTACAGTCAGAGCACGGTGTAGTTTTGAGCAAGGGATCAATGTGTTGTGGCTTGTAGGGGTAGCCACTGGCTTAGCGAAAGGAGATGGACTGGATGGAGTGGAAACAACCTACTGTGCCCTCAAGCCACTCATACTCAGCCCAGTAATGCCAGCCACGGGGACGGGGAGGGCCTTGGTGGACAATACAAGGGATCTGGCACTTGTTGAGCTGGGTGCTAAGCAGGAGAGAGTAGACTGGAATCCCACGGCAAGCAAATGGGCAGGGCCACCGCGCTGCAGGGACAGGTGAAGGGGTGACAGATGAGGGCTGCCTTGCTGCAGGCAGGGGTGCACCACCCATCGTTATACTGATGACATGTTTGAGAATGGGAACAAGTGTCTGAACAGTTATCGCTGCAAATACAGACTCTACAGGAGCAGGGTGGGCTCTAAACCCCACCTAAGGAGGCTCACCGACTGGACACCAGGTGCAATTCTCAGGGATAGTCTGGAGGGGGCAGACAAAAGCTATCCCGGAGAAAGTGTGCACTGGTCTTCAGCACTGCCCTGCGCCCACTGCTCTAGGACTACAAGCTTCTGGGGGCCTGTGGGGTTCTGGCAGACCTCCACACCCCACTTAGCATATTCAGTACAGTCACTACAGTGTTTGACTGAAAGAAGTGGTAAGTGTACTTGGAATTGTGCAGGGAGGGTGTGGTCCAACACTTGGATCCATTCACTCCAGAGGGACAACCATTCAAGTGGGGGATATGGTGTCTTGGGAGTTGCGGCAGCAAGGTACCATGTAAGGTGAGAACCTATAGGTTTTTGGTCCAGTTCCCTGCAAGAGGCCACAGCAAATTATAGACCTGTGGAAAAACAGCTTCTGCCTGTTGTGGGGCCTTCGCAGGATCCCGAAGCCACTGTGTGCAATCCCTATTTAAGAGGGAGAGAAAGTACCCCGCAGGCGATCTGGTTAGGGGAAGTACATTTAGAGACAGCCTCCCTCTTGCCTTCCCAAAGGAGCCACCCAAAGGAGTCCATAAGCCTGTCCTTTTGGGACGTTATCTCCGTAGCAATGAGTGTGGGGCTGGCTTGCTGATGGCAGTGCAGCGTATTCCTGAGCAGGACAGTCAGTGTGTTGCTCTACAGCATATAATCCTGCCATGGATACTGTCTCTTTTGGCTCAGGAATGAGACAGCAGTGGGTTGAACCAAAGGCTGCCTCTGTAGCTCTCACTGAGGGAGAAGCATACTACCCTTTACAGACAGCTGGTCTGCGAATCTGGTTACCAAGACAGGCCACCACACAGCAGAACATAAATGATAACTCAGAGGAAGTCCCTCGTGGGAAATGGTTTGTGACACTGAGCAAACTAAAGCTGTGTCAGGGTGACATGTTGACGCCCATCAGAACCAGGAGGCCCTTCAAACTCAGCATCATACAGTGGGCAATCAGATGACTCAGAGCCACAGCAAGCTTGAGAGGCACATGAACAGCCAGGGCATCGTGGCCCCACCGCAGCTCAGGCTTGGGATCCATCACAAGCCTGTCCCATGCTAGCACTACACTGGTGTAAGACAGCGCGTGCCAGCTGTCCCACTTGCATGAAGACAACACAAGTGCCTTTCACCAGCACATATGGCTGCATCCAGCACAGCAAACAATCCTTTGCAACCCATCAAGTAGATTACTTAGCTCTGCTGCCCTCCTCACAGGAATGAAAGTATGTATTAACTGCTGCAGGCACCTACACAGGCCTTATGTATGCACATCCTGCCTCCCATGCAAACCAAGCCTCCCCTACGTGGGGCTTGAGCAACCCATATATGCTTATAGTATTCCAAAAGACATGCAGAGAGACCGAGGTAGCCACTTTGCAGGCCGTGCTGTACAACGGCAAAGGACTCAGAGACCACGTAGGCCTTCAATATATCACATCTCCCTCAAGTCAATGGGTTACTACAGAGAATAAGTGGCCTGCTAAAAGAAACTGAAATGCTAATGCATTTCAATGCTTACAACGCCTTGTAAGTGAGTATAAGCCAAAGCAACTCCAGCAATCCTTGCCTGGATATTAGTAAAGCAAGGGGGGATTGCCCCCTGCATACTCACCTCTGGGCAGGTAGAACTGTGTACATCTGAGCACCTTATGCTTGCTGAACAAAGAGTTATAAGCTTAACTATAAAACATGACTTCTCTTCACAGTGTGTATGTCTGTTTATACCTTTAACATCTGTTAAAATAGTCCCATTCTTACTGACCTCTTCTCAAGGTTTATCTTCCCAGTATCTGTGTCCATGCCAGTGAATGGCTCACAGGGAGCAGCAATACTGTGAGGAATTCTGATCTGCAGTGCTAGAGTGCCTGGAGATCAGCAAACACCCTCCATACACACATTTGGAGGAGTATATGAATACTCCTCCAAAGGAAAAATCCAACCACAGCCAGTGCTCTAGTTCTTCCACACTGGATACATCATGTTTTTCCACCTTCCCATGGACAGGTTATTATATCAGCACTGTCAGTTGCTGTGGCAATGCTGCCTCTTGCTGTCCACGACAGGTACCATCATTCCACAAGATCACTCAGCTTCCCATGTAAATACATGGATTTGGATGGCACAAAAATCAGCTAACCTCTCTGCTTTCTGCATTGCAGGAAGGCTATCAGTGGATGATGGCTTAACTACATGTTGCATAGACGTACCAGCTCTACCCATGGTGTTGCAGAGAGAAGCTTCTCTTAAAAATAAATCCCCCCCCCAAAAAAGGTTATTTGTTTTACTTGTATTTCTTTACTAAAGGTCATTTCTTGAATTTATATGATTTAGGTACTGCTTCCCAAAAGACTCTTAAGCTTTGGGAGAAGGAAGCAGGCTTCATATCCTCCTATTTGCACCACCTCACGGAGGTCCCAATGCACCCAAGACATGCTCTAGCAACATACCTGAAGTCCTGCCAGCATTTTGTGATCCACAGCTTACGGTGCATCAGCACCACGCTTGCAGAAGCAGCTGTGCTGTGCGTACCTCATGCACATGGCTTTTCCTTGTCATCACCAAAGGAAAAAAAAGGGCAAAAATAACATGAAAACTGCCTGGACACACCATCCCTGCCACGGACACAGGTTTTAGTCTGGTTTTTCCTTTCCATGAGCTGCTGTAGACAGTCCATCAGCCTTGGAGAACAGCTCCCCAGCAGGCGGCCAGTCCGTCAGCAGCAAGGCCTGGCCTCACCACCTCTTGCCAAGCGGAGCTGCTTCCTGGAAAGGAAATGGAAGGCAGGTAAAGGGGCAGGGAATGGGCTCGTGGAAGGGGCAGGTAAATGTCTTTCCTACTATATAGGAGCTTGCTCAAACAAGGGACCAGAAAGACACAGCAGCTCTGGCTAAAGTCAGCAGCTGAACGGCGAGGAGAAGCAAATTAAAATATGCTTTTAGTATAAATTAAAAAAAAAAAAAAGATATGGAGAAGCCTTCCATATGATTGTCATCAAAACGAACAAAAAGAGAGTACAAAAGGAGTCCAAGCTACTGAAGAACTTCCATGGGCACTTCTCCTTTGGAAAAGAGTTCTCTTTTATCCTGGAAGGACGTTTTGGGGGATTGGCATGAGCCCTACCCATAATTTCGGCCGCTTTCACGCCCGAGCGGAAAGCAGGAGGGCAGCACGAGCCGCGCACATGTGGACGCGGCGCAGGGACAGGGCAGGGCAGCGCAGGGCGACGCGGCCACCAACGGCCGCCCAACGGCCGCCACGGCCGCGGGCGGCGCAGGATGTGACCTCACGGCGCCGCCCCTTCCCCGCCCGCCTCGCGGTGCCGGTTCCGCCGCCGCGTCCCGCCCGCTCCATCCCGCGGCCGGTGGCGGTGGCGGTGGCGGGGGGCGGGCCCTGGCTCTGCCCGCGGCCGGTGAGCGCGGGGACGGGGCTGCGGGGCGGCCGCTCCCCCCGGTGCCTGCGGCGGCCGCGCGGGGCGGCGGGGCGGGCGGGAGGAGATCCCGAGGTGTCCCGAGCCCACGGAGCGGCGGCTTCCGCGTGGGCGATACCTCAGGCCTCGGAACCCGCCCTCACCCTTTTCTTCCTGCAGGCGTGCGCAGGCGGCCCGCGGCGCGGCCGCCATGGGGAACCAGCTGGCCGGCATCGCCCCGTCCCAGATCCTCTCGGTGGACAGCTACTTCAGCGACATCCACGACTTCGAGTACGACAAGAGCCTGGGCAGCACGCGCTTCTTCAAGGTGGCCCGAGCCAAGCACCGCGAGGGGCTCGTGGTTGTGAAGGTGTTCGCCATCCAGGACCCCACGCTGCCCCTGACCAGCTACAAGCAGGAGCTGGAGGAGCTCAAGATCCGGCTTCACTCGGCGCAGAACTGCCTGCCCTTCCAGAAGGCCACGCTGTCCGAGAAGGCCGCCATGCTCTTCAGGCAGTACGTGCGGGATAACCTCTACGACCGCATCAGCACCAGGCCCTTCCTAAATAACATTGAGAAAAGGTGGATAGCTTTCCAGATCCTTACCGCGGTGGACCAAGCACACAAATCTGGGGTCCGCCATGGGGACATTAAAACTGAAAATATTATGGTGACCAGCTGGAACTGGGTTCTCCTGACAGACTTTGCCAGTTTTAAGCCAACTTATCTCCCTGAAGACAATCCCGCTGACTTCAACTATTTCTTCGACACCTCGCGGAGGAGGACATGCTACATCGCTCCCGAGCGCTTTGTTGACGGCAGCATGTTTGCCACGGAGCTGGAAAACATGCGGGATCCCTCAACGCCGCTCGTAGACTTGGCAAACAGCAACCAGCGAACAAGAGGGGAGCTCAGGCGTGCAATGGATATCTTTTCTGCAGGTACTTGAGAGAGCCACAAAGATCCCTGTGCCATTTGTGGTGGGATATCACACTGCAGGAAAGCTTTTTTTGTTGGCTTGCTCCATTCTAGTTTTATTTTGTTTTCCCCAGTGGGCTTAGAGAACAGCACGTGGCAGAACTTGCTCATTTTAAGTATAGGTATGACAATCCCAAATCTTCTTTCCACAGAAATAGCAGGGGCCCAGCAGTAGGCTCCGTAACTCACGTGCATCACGGCGCTGGCAGAGCAGAGCGCGGGCCGGCCCATTTTGGCAGAGCCCTGCTCTGGGGAAGCGGCGCTGCGAGCCGCAGCCCACGCTGCGGTGCTGAGCACACGCAGGACGTTGCCTCGGGGGGCCCAGGAGGGCATCTGCTTCAGGAACCTGTTGCTGCCTTGCGTGAGGCCCAGCTCTCTATGAATTAACTCGGCTTTCGGGGCAGTTTGGTCATATCAACTTGAGCAGCCCCTTCTCGTTTCATTTGTTTTACAGACAAGAAGCTGGATAACTCAGTAAGCCCCTGTCATTATAATCCCACTCACAAGTATGTGCTACAGGCCTATTTTGGGACTCTTTTTTGAAAGGCCTCCTAGGTTTGAAAGTGATAAAGGTTCTCTTAGAAAAAAAAATGGATGAAGTCTGAATGTAAAGGCAAGCTGACTTGACTTTACAAGCTGCTGCACAGAGGCAGCCTTCACTGATGCAGTGAGATGCTGCCAGCTGGGAAGAAACTCCCAGGCTGGGAGAGCAGCCCTCAAAGGGCAGGCGAGCCCGGCTCGGTGTGCAACAGGGCAGCCCTGTCTGGCCCTCTCATGGATTCTCACGGTGTTCCTGAGCCTCCCTGCATCCACGCGTGCCCTCTCGCAGCATCGCCACAGAGGTTGTTTCTTTACCTTCTGTAAAAGGGCTGCTAGTTTTGACCTCGGGCTGGTTTCCTGGCTCTCTTCTTCCATGTGACAATAATCTGGGTTCCATTTCTGGTGGTTTATTTTCCAGTTGGCAGGTGATTGAAGTCAGTGCCTCATGTTTCCTAACTGCAGACTCCTCTGCTGTTGGCATGTTTAAAATAGAATACTTGGAAGATGTGCAGGCATCGAGTACAAAAGTCAGTTTTTGGAGACTGAGATGCTATCCTTTTTCCCTAGCTGGTTGGGCAACCCCTCTGCCTTATTTTCACTTGAGCCAAGAGTCATGTGAGGGATGTTCTTGTCTGCATATGGGCAGCAGAGGTGAAGTGGCTGCTTTATAACCCCCTGAAATCTTTGCCCTTCTCTTTTCCAGGCTGCGTAATAGCAGAGCTCTTCACTGAAGGTGTACCCTTGTTTGATTTATCTCAGCTTCTGGCCTACAGAAATGGCCTCTTTTCCCCTGATCAAGTCCTAAACAAAATTGAAGACCGCTGTATCAGAGAACTGGTAAGAATGGACAGCAGAGCTGTTTGTGTGGTTTGGTTGTAGTTCACCTGTGTGATGATAGATTGCTTGTTGGTTTTGGTGGGTTTGTTTGTGTGTTTTCTTTTTGCATTACAAATATCTAAATCTTTAATCTTTTTCTCCTGCTCCCTCCTACCTCTGCCTTTCTCAAGGTGACTCAGATGGTCCATCGCGAGCCAGATAAACGTTTAGCAGCTGAAGATTATTTGAAACAACAACGTAACAATGCATTTCCTGAAATCTTTTACACTTTCCTCCAGCCTTACATGGCCCAGTTTGCCAAGGAAACGTTTGTGTCAGCAGATGAGCGTATATTGGTCATACGTAAAGATCTGGACAACATCATTCACAATCTGTGTGGGCATGACCGCACAGAGAAAGCCGAGGGAGAGACAAAAGAGAATGGGCTGGTTATTCTAGTGTCTGTGATAACTTCCTGTTTACAGACTCTCAAATATTGCGATTCCAAACTGGCTGCTTTGGAACTGATCCTTCATTTAGCGCCAAGATTAAGTGTAGAGATTCTGCTGGATCGTATTACTCCTTATCTGTTACATTTCAGCAACGACCCTGTGCCCAGGGTGAGGGCAGAATCCGTGAGGACACTAACTAAAGTTCTTGCTCTCGTCAAAGAGGTGCCACGCAACGATATTAATATTTATCCAGAGTACATCCTGCCAGGCATCGCACACTTGGCCCAGGATGAAGCCACTATTGTCCGACTTGCCTATGCTGGTAAGAGGAAACCTGAGCAAAACTCTCAATCTTGTCTTGTTGCTGGGGGCTCCCCCTATATTTTCCTACCTGTGCCCTCCACTGCCCAACATCATCATACTTGCTCTTTTCTTCACAGTAAATCTTCCCAGAAGCCTCATAAGTGGCTGCAGATCAAGCTACCTGCGCTGCCTTAAGCTAATTGGCGAAGGTGGTGGCAGCAGCTTAGTACTTAATGCGAGTTGACTTACATTAAGAAATGAGTTTCCAATCTAGATTTGCACCCAGAGCAAATAAGACAATTGAGTATCAAGAAGTTGGCACCTCTCTATTAGATGACTTTTAAATTACAATTTATTACAATGAATTAATTACAAGTTCTACGTGTGAAAACAGCTTGCAGAATGTACCTCTTTGTTCTGGCCTGGGACCTGGACGTAGCGCTCTGCAGATCTGCTCGCAGCTGAGATGAGGGCTCCGCTTGGGAGAGTCCCGTGCTCCCGGGAGCAAGGCCAGCTAAACATGAGTGCCATAAATCAAAGGGTGGGAACGGGGCTCTCTGGGCCTGCCTGCTATATGCAGCTTTTATTAATTTATCTACATCGGCATTTGATTAGCTCAGATTGTTTATTTAGAGTGCTGATTGCAGGGAATAAACATAAAATTAATTTAGCAAATCAGTTTGTTGATATACTTCACTTTTTTTTTTTTCCATACAAAATGAAACCTGGTATTCAGTGCCAGGAATCATATTATTTGCTATGCAAGGCTGGCTTGTATCTTAGCAGATGCTTTTTTGTGCTTTTAAACTAAAGTGAAATGGAGAAAAAGAGCAAAAAAAACCAATGAAACCAATGATTTTTCTGCAAGTACAGAAAGGCTACAGCTCTCAGCACCCAACAGAGTTCAGGTGCACCTGCTTAAATGAAGACTCTTCTTCTGTTTAGTGGTTTGACCTTCTAATTTCAAACTGAGTACAGCTCGAATATTTGCAGTAATATGGAGTAATATGCAATAATGTGGACTATGAATTATAAATGGTTCCATCTGAACATGGGCTGCCTTCATTTCAAGGAGCTTTTCCTTTAGAAAACCTTTTTTTTTTGGTATAATTTTATATGTATTTTAATCCTTGATTGAACTTGAATGACTCCACACTTTCTGCAAGTGACCAAATTGGTGACTTGCAGGATTTGACCTGCTCCTGGACCGCCCTGGTTGGCACCTGCTCTTGCCTTGGACGAGGTCCAGAGCGACTGCTTGGGTTGGACTGGTGCCTTGACAGGATTATTCCTGTGCCAGCAACGGCCTGGCCCATACAGTCTGTTGCTTCAGCAGCTTCCAAGCAGTGCAGCGCTGTGCCAGACTGTCTGGGAAGAGGTGGGGGAAGAGTTC